TTTTTTGAGACAGAGTCTCCAGTATGCAGCTAAGGCTGGCCTTGAGCTCACTTTGTCGCCCAGGCTGGTCTCTAAACTCCCAACAATCCTGCCTCAGCTTCCCAAGTGCTGGGATTATGGGCATATGCCACCCTACCTGGCGATTAAGAGCTGTTTTTATTTATTTGTTTTTTGCTGAATAAGCTATTTAATAAAAGTAAAATGTTGAAATATGTTATTCATTTGACAGTTGGGATCATTTATTGTGGACAAGCCATAGTCATCACCTCTACTTAACTTTAAATGTAGACAAGTGGTATTCCTATGTCTAAAAGTTTACCAAATTCTATAATCAACATATGCACATAGGGATTGAGGAGATGGCTCAGTAGAATAAACACTTGCCTGGCAGGCACAAGGGCCAGAGTTCAGTCCCTGCTTCCGCCCCGCCCCCCCAAAAAAAGATAGATTTAGTAATTTTTAAAAAATAAATAAAACGTGCACATAACTGAGAGAAAGACTTCCTAGAGGAGGTAAGATTAGAACCAGGTTTTGACATTGTTGGTTATAACCCATTTCCTTTTATTCTTTCTTTAAAAATGTTTTTTGTCAACATTTGTTTTTTTTTTAAATTAATTTTATTTATTGTGTGTGTGTGTGGCCAGCTCAGCCCACCAGGGGGCGGGGCAGGCTGGCATGTGGTGCTGGGGGATTGAACCGCAGGGTCCCTGTGCTTTGCTTAGCTTAGCTTAGCTTGTTCTAAGTAGGTGCTTTAGACCACTGAGCCATCTCACCAGCCCAACATTGTTTTAAAGTATGTAATAAAGGCCAGGCGTAGTGGCGCACACCTCTAATCCCAGTGCTGGGGAGGCTGAGACAGGAGGATCACTGAGTCCCAGCTGTGTAATGAGACCCTGTACCAAATACATAAAAAGAAAGAAATACAAAATGAAGGTATTTGCATGGAATATGGTACATATACATATCATCTTGATATCTTTATTCTTAATACATGTATTTTCTTTAAAAAACTACCTACTTACAAATGATGTCACTGGGCCAGGGATATAGCTCAGTGCCATAAATGCCTGCCTGGCAAATAACAAGGTCCTGGGCTGGAGAGATGGCTCAGTGGTCTAAGGCACCTACTTAGAACAAGCTAAGCTAAGCAAAACAAAGGGACCGCAGTTCAATCCCCCAGCACCACATGTCAGACAGCCCCGCCCCCTGGTGGGCTGAGCTGGCCACACACACA